TAAATATTTAGAGACGATCGAAGTCACGCACCCTGAGATATGAGCCGTCTGCAAGCCAAAGTATTGAAATGTGAGAAAGCTGAATACTTTTACCCAGACCTAGTACCGACATGTTACACTGTACAACTGTAATGTTTGAGCCCGGAGGTCCCGACCTCCCAACGACACGTTGGCCAGAAGTACTGACGTGATGGGCTCCAAACGTCGAGCACAGAGCTATATGTATCACCTGCCACGCGGTTGTTAACAGCCCGACTGGCTGATTACTCGTACACCGTATGGTAGCTTCGACACCTAGCACGAAAGGAGGACACACACCAGATTCTCACGCGTTTGTTGCAAATGCGATTGGCTAATGTTCCGGGTGGGCTGAGGACACAACTACGTATGGAAAACGTGTGCATGACAATTATTCGAAACAGTACTTATGCCTAATGCTCGCAAAGCTCGTGACGCCAAAAGTTCTTGTTGGCAAAAGTACTTATGGATAAACACTATGCGGTAAATGTTCGTCGAGAAAAGTTCGTAACGGAAGTGGTCGTTCGCACAAAGTACGTATAGAAAAGGATCGCAAGCAATTGTTTGTACTCAATGCTCGGGGCGCCAATGAATGAAAGTCAAAAGAGGGAGGCACCACCAACTTTTGATAGGGGCGACAAGATCGTAAGCCATCACAACACTTGGATCAAACATGGATAAGAAGTCATGCGTTTTATAACTGGTTGTTCTCGTGAATAGCATTGCTATGGAAACTCTTCATGTGCCATGCGTTGCACCACCGTGAAGCGTAGTGGCGTGGGAGCTGGGGATAGAGGCAGGGTCTCAAGTACCCACATCTTTCCGCAAATTTAGCATTTGGCCAGCGGGTGTTGACTGGAGAAAAATAATCTCAACGGCTGTCATCCCATTCACTTTCCAACATGGAGGGACGTCCGTTTAGTCTCATGACGGCGGTTTTTTCTTCACAGATTCGTAGTTTCTTCTGGGCATGGCGTATTATCACTCTAGACCAATTGACCACATAACGTATCACCGTATAAATGTGTAGACGTATAGTGGAAAAAGCTTCGTAGGGTGATATTAATGCACATATACCACGCAGCCATGAGAGAGCTTGGGCGTCCGATTCTAATGCTTTTACTTGGGTTATGGATACAACTAATAACAGAGTAAATCTGGCCATTTGTTACGGAGATATTGTTTTCTTTTTACTTTGTTTGTTTATCTGCTTTTGTTACCAAAAAACCAACGACCCGCTGCTTGAGGATTGGCAGAGTTAACATGCTCCCTCTAGGGTCTGCAACACAACCTTTCATGGCACGGCTCCAAGCAGCAGACAAACGTTCTCTGGCGTGGTGCGTTCAGACTGGCGATGCCGCTTGCGGCATGAGGCCTGGATCCTTCAAGCACCTTCGCCTGGATCCCACTCGATCCAGGCGAATGTGGTCCGCTCGATCCAGGCGAATCGAGAGTTGCACCTAGCACACCGCTGCTGCGTTGATCCTCTTCTGCATCATCATTAAACGAAGCAAGTTTTCAGCCGCTGTTGCGCGCTGAAACTGCATCCAGCTGTGGCTGACCTGGCGGACAGTATGATGAAAAGGTCATCAAGTTTGAAGGGTTCAGGGATGGTTTCCAGCGCGTTGTGCCTCACACTGCGGAGAACGAACCCGGTGGCTATATCCGACTCAACGGCAAGGGGAGTGGGCAGTTGGTCCCCCGTCCCGCTGGTAGCGCTGCCCCTGGGCACCTCCGTGGAGTTGGCATACGCAGTTTCTATGTGACAAGAAATAAAAACGCTACGAGCTTGAAAAAGGGGAAGAAGTGAATAAAAGGGGGACTTTTCAGGTTGCATGAATAACATGCTTCTACATAATAGACTTAAAACGAAACACATTTGATATCCGTACCGAAAGCTCTCTTAGCGCGCCTGCCTTCCGATCCACCCACCAGTGGCGGGGTGGGTTCGAACCGCTTTAGGCGCTCGCCATTTGTCCTTGACAAACATTGTTTGCGGCCGATGGCAGCGACCGTGCTAAAGGTCAGGTGACATCAAAGAGCATGACCGACCGTGTGTGCCTTACGGCACGTTAGTCTTTCGCCACCAACCTGCTGTTGACCTGAACTTGCACGATCGGTGGTATGGTGTTCACACAACAAACACTGCTTAGTGTGAACTCGAACTTCAGGGGGGTGGGGTGGGGGTGGGGGGGTGGGGGTGGGGGGTGGGGGGGTGGGAAGGCGCATCACATCTATTCATTTGGGAGAGGAGGGGGGCAGGGGATGACAGTGGACGATGACAACTCCATAGGTCACGTCAGGCGTTATGACTAGCCTAACTTTTCATATCGTGACCTTAGCGGTCTGAGATGACCAGCGAATAAGTTCAAATCAATTGGGGCTTTGCAAGATGACCCTAGAATGCAGGGGACTGGATATAAACAACATATCTACTGCGGATCATCCCCCCCCCCCCCTAGTTTGCTGTGCTCTCCGTTATCTCTCACCCTGACGACGTCTCTGTCAACGACTTCACCTGACGCCCTTGAGCAGGCCAAGGACTCCAGTTGACGGACGCGATGAGCCAGCTCGCTTGTGAGATGCGGGAGGAAGACGCGTCGGTGACACCCAGTATACGATACCTTATGTACAATAAACCGGATTCCAGAGAGGCTGGTGCATCAGCTGGACCCACTTTGGTACACCCCTTTGGTTAAGACCCTGTTTGCACCCGGCCAAACATCGCCCACGAGCATCATTGTTAAACCTTACACTGGATAGAGGCTGGGTAGCACTCACTGAAATGAATGCCCTAGGTCATCCCTCCAAACCAAATTCAGCGACATTTAAGAGCTGCCGGCGCGTTATTTCGTACCCTGGTGGTCAATCTGGCCCTGGAACACTCCCCATAGGAGCATCGTCTACCATCCCGAAGCCAAGTCTCTCTAGGCATCGCCAGATCATTCTCATCATTCTCGGAAAGTGGAGTGCACCCAGGGCCACCCGCACATATGCCCCTGCTGTTCACGAACCTCTACGTATGCGTTTTTGTCAAACCAACTTCGTCAGTTTTGAGTTTTTATGATCGCGCAATTGTTTACAACCATTGCGTACGCGTAGTTAATGTGTGCGTACTCTTGTTAATGCGTGCGTTATCCGGCCTTTACTTTAATTGATTTACTCTTGTCTTGAAACCGCTCCGAATGCTAAAAGCGCTTTGAGCCATTTAAACCCAAAGCCTACGGCGCAAAACCGGGACCGGGACTAGGCTCAGCCCCGCCCCGAAACAACCGAAACCCTCTTAAGCCCAACACCAGGGGTGCAGTTTTTCATTCAGCTGGGAGGGGGGGGGGGCGGTCTTCAGACCCTCAACTTAGAGAAGAAAGTGGACCACAATTTTTCTTTGTCCAGACCACTACAACTCATTTTGTGAAACTATGACCCTGCCCAGCACTCTTGTAGCTACTCCGGAGAAGCCACGGTACTGAGTGCCCCAGAAGCCACGTCAGAACTCCGGACACCGCCTGCCTGAACGCCTGACGCCTGAACGCCTGAACACAGCCCTGACCGCTGCCTGCCACTTGCCACGGCTGTTGTTGCCACCTGGCGGTGGCGACGCGAATTGCGCAACAAGCTGTCCTGAGCCCCTCATGACACCGTGACATAGACATCTCTGCAGCAAGTGGGAATCAGGTATCGGCAGATAGGGCGGATCGGACGGTAAATTTTTTAATGCCAAATGGAGCAGGGGCGTAGTCCTGCAAAATGAGTTGGGGGTGGGGGGGGGGGGGGGGGGCTAAACAATGAAATATAATACCCAGCCTGCCCCCTTAGACATACCAACAAGCAGTTTTCTCTCCCAAATGTATCCCCCTTTCCCAAAGTCGAGAAACCGAAGCCCAAGTTGGGGGAGAGGATGACACCCCCAGCTGTAAATAGGAAAAGGCTATGACACCTAAGATGGCTGTAAGCAAAAACGCAAAATTTGTTAAAATTTCCTATTGAGTTGTCAAATTTGTCATTGAAAGTTGTTTATTTGACCAAGGATCACCGTTTGCACACGTGCCGAAGGTAGTTAGGTATTACGGATCGAATGACGAGGGTTTTCCGGTCATTGGAACGATAGGTTCTTATGTCGGAGTTGCTCGGTTATGGAAGTGATGGCATTTCCCACGGGTGTCGATTTTTTTTTGAGGGCCCTGGCCCCCTAATGTTGGCCTACCCCCCATTGTTTTTGGCTGGAATGCTACAAAAAAACGCTGGTAAAAGATGATCACAACACAGAGACTATCTTTGTTCTTTCTGCGTAGTGGCGTCTCGTACCACTCTCATCACTAAAAGTCATGATTGCTCTCACCACAAGATACGGATCCTAACAGTTGAGGGGATCAACGATGCAACAAACTTCACATACTAAGCGCCATAAGGCACGCAATGGTTTGTGAGGTTAAGGTGAAAAACTCTGGAACACGGGGCGACCTAGGTCCTTTATGATTAACCAAGCCCACGTTCCCCACAACCGAAATGCGTACCGCTTTCCATGACCACCATGGAAGAGCGCCATCGGCGCTCTGAGGTGGCCTCTCCAGGGGCGCGTTCACGTGCCGACTAGAGGGGACGCGTGCGTCCAGTGCCTGCTCCATGGATGCAACCTTGCATGACTTCTATACTGCTTGAAACAAAGATTGCGTTTAATCAAAATAAAGTGGGCTAAATCCGGTGAGAAAAAAGTGGATGGGAAGGGGGGGTAGGTTGTCTGGCCTTTGATTCGGCCCCCAATAATTTTTAAAAAATGATACCTTGCGGAAAAAAACACCATGATAACCATATTTCTTTTTGCATACTGATTTAAGCATGACAATTGATTTGTGACTGTTTTAAAGCGATTGAATAAACAGTTATTCACCACGGTTATGTTTGCTAAGTATGTCGGCATTTTAGTCCCCTCCTCTCAGCTGGCTTTATCATCACCTTGATCGTCGCCAACACCGCCTGTGTGGTTTGTCCGCTGTTGGGGTGTTGGCCGCGGCCGCCGGTTTGGGATAATAAGTATTTGTATACACTGCCTGTGCATTTTCACAACCATTTAAATTACCCCTTGTTGCACGGGGAGTCATTTGATACCCTAATCGTGGAAGCTTTCGGGTGGAGTTCTGCGTGTGCAATGGGTAGGATGAGCCGGTGACAAGCGAAGTTGTGACAAAAACCAAGATCATCACGGATTTTCCGAGATCTACTGGACAAATTTGCAAGAATGAATTGCCAGCTATGCCCGGTGGTTGTGATCCTGCTGCTCAGTTCAGGTAATATACGTGCTGATCGGTTTGTAATACGGCTACGGTATGTTCACCTATTTATATGTGCATTGTCATGACCTTGGTTAATCTGAGCTTAATCAAATGTTTTATAATTGTTTGAAATGGGCAACAATGCCAACAGGCTCCAGGCTAAGTATACAGCTAGGAGAAGGATCATGGCCAGCATGTGCATTAGGATATCAGTTGTATGGCCAAGCCATATGAATGCAAGATTTCAGGAATGCCTGAAAGTGAAAGATCAAGAATGGTTGTCTTGTGCCATAATCCATGTGGCATGTGATCATTTTGACATTAGTTTGTCACAAGTGTTATTGTAAGCAACAGCCATCTAACACTTCCGTGCCTGTCTGCCAGTGCCAGAATAGTTTCCTTCATACACCAAGCCTTTTCCTTCATACACCAAGTTTCTAGTTTCAGTTTCTAAAAACAATCCTTCACAACTGAACTTTGCTGTCAGTAGCATAACCATGCTTAACTCGAATACACCAAACAATGCATGACATCCAGAACATGTCCGCCCTGGCGTGATGTTTGAAGGTAATTTCAGGCAAAAATGCTCCAAGAGCATTTATAAGAAGCAAATGATGTACAAATTTATCATGATTTCACATGGCCTGAGTTTGGTGCATGTAAATGCGAGGATCATTGCACTGATGTCATGTGGGCATCCAGCACAGGGAATTGGTTTGTAGCCAACTGGAACTCGCACAAACTTTTCTGGGTGTTTGGCACTAAAAATAATCAAAGCTTGCATGCAAATGGATGTAAAAGTGAAGGTGGAGAACCATAAGTTGTGGACGATCTCCATGCTCATGGCTCATGGCTCTCATGTTCGTGACATTTTTTCCCTTGAATGTCTTTGCCAACTGATTCCTTGGTTGCAAAGTTCCTGTATCCTAGGGTCATTACTATGGCAACTTATTTTGTTCAAACATATTTGTGTATTGCTAGAAAAGACACCGTTTAAGGATGCTCTCAATGACTTCCGCATGGTATATTCTCCCTCCTACCCCATGCTTGTCTGTATAAGGCCATCATTACTGTTTAACCATGTGATGTTCCACCACAGCATCTGGAAATCGGATTTGGGAGACAATTTACCAGGATCTGGATGCGACATACAGCTGCTTCACTATCACCAATGCCACACATGAGTTTGGATGCAGAGGTGAGCTGGAAGTGGACTTTGCAGCAGCTCTGCAGAGACCATTTGTGTGTTATGAGCCAGGGATGGGTATCACAAGAATGATTGACAGTGTGTTTGCTCATTGCATCAAGATAGGCCAAGTGATAGGCATCCTGGGATGTCAATGATTTTGTTCTGGATCAGCCTATTTCAAATGCCTGATGAATGTTGTAGTTTTGGTTTCTTGGCCTCACATCATCATTTGCTTTACAATTCTGTGGGACAGTTGTGTTTGAGGAATCTGCTAGCAAGCACAGTCTGTCCTGGCATGCTATCTTATGTGGCAAACTAAGGGAAATCCTTGTGCACACATTCAAACCCAGGTGTGCATGCACCCGGCTTGTGCGATGAATATCGTGGACTAGCGGCGATGGACGGTGGCCTAATGGGCCAGCTTTGGCCGCTGGCCGCCGGCGGCGCCACTGGGCAATGGTCGCTGGCACAGACGGCTCTGACGTCGGCATCCTCCTGCCACCAGCCGACTTCTCCGGCAACGTGGGCCTGCTGCGCGTGGCGAACACGTCGGCGGCGCTGGATCAGCTGCTGGCGTCAGACAATAAGTTGCCATATGTGGTGGTGTTGCCTCGGTCGCAGTTCAGCGTGGCCACCCTGCGCCAGCTGGAGGCCATGACGGCCGATCCGAACAGAGGTCAGTGGCTGGCGGCGGCGCGCCGGCAGGGCTCTCACAGCCCGGCGGCCCGGCCGAAGAGCGTTGGCCGTGTGTTAAGCCATGCTGGGTGTCGCCATGTGCTATTTTTGGTGGGGAAGGGGTAATCCGGTGACTTGCGGCCTGCTTGGCGTCCTCCTCGCGTTTATCGCGAGCGTCTGCGCATCGCTGCGGCTCGCCGCGCGCTCTGACGTCACGCGTATCCGGCAGGTGACGTCAAGGGTGTGCTGCTGACGCTGCCCGACGGCAGCTGGCAACCCGACACCTTCCAGTTCTCCGAGGACGACGTCTGGCCCAACCGCGTCTCCAGTGAGTGTGCCTGGGGAGAAGTACGCCAACCGCTACGACGCTGGGTCGCTTGGGGCGAGGTACATCCGCTCGCCGGCAGGAGATGGGTTCATTAAGCTCATTAAACTATTTCATTTAACTCGTCTCTGGCTTCGGTCGCGTATTTTTGCTGTCTGAGCTTTTTCTGGCAAAAATTTATAACTGACATATAGCGCCAAAGTGTATTACCCTTGGCAGTGCGTTTCCTGCTGAAGTCCAGAGTTTTGACGTGGATCTTAAATATAGTGCTGGCGTTTTGTAAGGGTTCATACACCAGCGGAAATTAGCACGCAAACCATTCCTACTATGATCCTGCCGCATAAACACTTTGCGATCGATTTAACGTGTGTGGAGATGCCAGTTTGAACGTTTGTGGAGGTGCCGTGGCTTAAGGCCCGATGCGGGTTGTTTAGGATAAGCATGCTCTCTTTACTTTCCTCATTAAGGAAAAATCAGGGTATTCATCGCCTATTTCGAGTTACGGTAACCCGACTTCTGATTACCGTCTACTGACTAGTGAAATATCGGCTAGGATGGTAACTGTGCACATAGTGGCACCATGGTGTCTTTGAGAAGAAGTGACAACGAGAGAAGCATTTACGTTGCTGCTTTCGGCAAGTGTTCGCAAGTCATTAATGGGTGATATGACATGGACTTTCTCCAACTAAGCCAGTGGATGATATGACATGGTCCGTCTCAGGCAAATCATACGGGACTCGCCAGGATTCTTGCTCTTAATGTGGATAACACCAAATGGAGAAAATTGACAGGCAGAACGGGGTATGTGGATTATCGTTAGTGCCGTGTGTCAGATTGCTGCAGTTTATGGCGTATCGCATCGCCTACCTCACCGCAACATGCCTTTAGCCGAGATAGTGCGGTCGAGAGGTACGGCCTCCACCCGGCCTCGCCAACTTTGGCGTCAGTGATGGGTATCCATGACAACCAGTGCTGGCAAGTGTTGACCAATTAGAAGGGGATCTCCAGAGTCACGTCGAAAGCCTTAACAAACGGGGGCCAGCGGGTGTGCTGGGATTACCGCCTGGCGGCTGCCGCGCTGGCACACAGTAATCAGCAAGCGACCCACACGAGCGTGTACACAATTTTCGAACAAAGGAGACGCGTAGCGCGGATTGCATTGACCCGTTGCGATTAACACGGATGGCCTCCGCTGTGGTATTTCAGTATGCAACGATTCATGTGCGCTTTTCAGCACCCTGCGCTGTAAGGCGCACGTGGATTCCGATGCTTGTGTCAGCTGGCAGTTCCCCGCGTGTGGGGACCCCGCATTCACCGTCGCTCGAGCCTTTCGGAATGTTCTCAATGGCTTGGACTTCGTCTACCTTCTTTTTCTTACATTCACGAAAAATGTCTAAGTCAAAAATGTATCCGTGCTAAATGCAACAATACACCCTTTTGGCGCGCGCTGTGACGGACACCGGTATCTGTCGGACGTAATTTTATGTCGTGGATCGCATTTTAGGTTGATCCTGTCGTACGTGCAAATTGCACGGCAATCCATGCAGCTGTCCGTGCTGTGCGTCTGGCGAAACGAACACGAACAGTCAGACAGTCAGATAGGCAGACGTATAGTCGGAAATTCATGAATTAGATGAGAGCTTCTTTCACAAGTTAAGCATGGACCAGTTATACGAAAGTTCCAGGACATCATGGCAGAGGTGGACTGATGTTAGGCGTTCATGCGGGAGATAATGCTGCTGGAATATTAGTTGGCTTAGGGTCTGCCGGAGCCCGGAAATTTTATTCGACGAGTTGAAGACGCGTGGAAGACTTTACGTTTTATGGTGGCTGGTGTGGGTGTTGGGAAAAAGGCTGGGTGGAAATGAGTCACAATGAGCATGGACACAAAATGATCACGGCAGTCGACGCGCCTAAACGCCAATCATCAGGCATTGTAATCATCAGGCATTGTAATCCGGATAATCATTGACATCTGGGTGTAGTGTTTGACGCAGGTTCTGAAAACGGTAATGCTATTGGCTTCCCGGTCTGTCGTTGGTCCACCTTCGGCCAAGATAGTGTTGAGGTCGCTGGGTGATGTATGTGCGACCCGCTCGCCTGCACCATAACATCTGGTGTCACGTGTCCACCCGCTCTGGTTGCCGCGATCTGACGTGTGGATCGACCAATCGTGATCGATCCGAACGCCACCGGGCGGATCCATCGTTTACCCATGGCCGTCTGGTCACATGGATCTAGATCTTTGGCGGTAGGATTACGCTCGTTTCTCTCCTTGGGCAAAAGTTATCTCTTGTCGTTGCGAAGGCAGGACGCTGTGGTCTGGATTTGTTTCCAAACCGCGGCCTTCAACCTTTTCGCCACCTGAAGCCCGACGTTTCCCGTGTCGATCAAATGGAAAGGTGGAATAGCGTCGACGTTGCGGAATGGAAGCAATGCACCACTCGACCCAGCAACCTGCATTTGCGTGCCTTGACAGATTACAGCACAACCCTCAATGATTTGCGCTAGATGTTGCTGGCAATGTAATGATGGTGGCCTGGTAGGATCAGCAGCTGCAAAGACATAAGCCTTTCAAAGAACAGTACTGAACGGGCCGTGCTGTGGCGCTGGAGCTAGTTTTGTGGCTAGTCGACGTCAAATGGATTACGTGTTTTTATTTATAAGGACTAGGTTAATGCCAGAAAGAGATGGATCAAGGCGCTCGATGCCCAATGGAATCAACATTTTCGTCTGGAAATAACGTAATCCGCACGAAACAGCGTGCCAAACTTAGCGATGGTACCACCGTATACTCTGCAGAATCGTAGAGACTGCGTCGGTTCCAGAAATAGGTATATCAAGGTTGTAGAAGTCCATTGGGTGGAAATGGCTTCATTCTCATGAAATGACGTTCCAAAATCCGCAGTGGTGCCATTGCGTACTTACCTGACGACATGTCATTCATCTGTAGGATGCCAAATCATCTACCGTGTTCATCACCTCGTGTGCGAGAATAAGAGTTGCTTCTGATGCTGTTTAACACTGAATTGTTGGGTATGGAAAATGTGTAAGCTGCCCTTAGTTGAATGACTAAGTTAATTGGTTGGTAATGTAATATTATGACATTTTGTTATTTGCATTTATGAAGAACTCAGATTTTGAAAACTGCTGAACTATCAACAAATTTGGAAAACTGCCTTCATTCCAGCGTTATTATTACGATAGCGGATTTCATGACAGTGCGTTGGCCTTAGTGCTCCGACTCATTTTTCAGCTACAATAGATGCGCAACACTGCATTCGTGGTCCGGAAGGGGACCGGTTTGATCTCTCTGAGACCTGCCCGCCCTGCAGCTTCGGTGGCAATTACCGCGCTTACTTTATTTTTTATTGCGGTCGTTGCCTTGATGTTTTAACCCCGAAGTGTTAAGATGCTTGATCAGTTATGACATTGTAGGAGACGATTCAAACCTGACCACGCCCACGTCTTTATTGCCTCACGCTCACATCTAAACCGTGGCCCCTCACCGTCGCCCACAGCCGGCGCCGGACCACCGACACATAGCGGCCATCCGACCCCGGCCTTGGCCAGAGGCGCCGTCGCGACCGCGCGGTGGCACGCTCCAGCCCCCTCCCCTCCCCTAGGGGAACTCCTGTACAGGCATTCCACAGGCCCAGTCGTGATTTGCACCAACCGCCAAGCTACAGACTAGAAAGGAGCCATGAACGGCGTGGGACCGGCCAGGCATTACCGGGTGGATATGCCAGTCGTCACGTAGCTGATGCCAAAAGCTACGTTGGCGAAGCCGGAAACCTTCGGTAAACGGTATCAGCAACTCTCACATTTGCCAGTCCAGTGCCATGCAGCGTGCAGTTGCCGCGTGATGTGCTCTCCGGTGAAATGTGCTGCATTGAGTGGCCGTTGTTGCGAGCAAGATTACAGCCCGGGGGAATCTCCCGCGAACTTTGGTTACACAAATTCAATTTGAGCGGCCCGGCGCATCTGCCACGCCCTCACGCCCTGTCACGCCGACACTGATGTCTTTACAATTGTTGGTCGCACGGAGTGTGCGTCTGAGCCCTGATCCCGCTGTCCTGCTGCGAACGCCCGGATCAACGACGGCGCTGCGAGAGATTAATGTGCCGCAATGTTCGGCTTGGTCCGTCCCGATCTTTGACATTCGGCACGTCCTCTGCTACCGGCCGCGGGTCATCCCAGTCACCAGTAAATGGCGAGCGCCTAAAGCGACTGAAGCACACCCCGCCGCTGGTGGGCGACCCGGGAGGCAGGCACTCTGACCAACTGAGCCATGGGGACGCGCTAGGTTCTGTGTCCAGAGCATCTGATCATCTTATGCATCGTATCTCTGTTCCACACTGTGCGAGTCAGCAAATTATCCGTCGTTCATCGAGTAGCCCAGGAAGATGATGTGGATGGATACGGGATAATCCGCCGATGCCTTGCTTGTCCTGATGGTTGATAAATGGCTTGCACAACGAGTATATCAAAGTTCCTCTCTCTGCCCCACCCAACATAACACTCACACCGACACGCATTACGATTAACGCCATTGGACAAAAAAGGAAATTCACATATTTTCGAAACCCGCCATGTTGCCTGGCCATTTTCTAGCTCATTTACAGCCCACGCCACACGTGAGTTAGCTCATCCAGCAGGCGGCCACCGCAGAAGCTTTGTAGCCCAATGTGATCCGATTCCTGTGCATCCCTTCCGGAGATAGCCTCTTGCGTGGAGAAACTGCCCCCCCCCCCACCCGTGATCGCGGGTATTTGAGGTATCTCAGGTCCCATTTTGCGATCGTTTTTTTGTCGTTGCCGTCGGCTTTCCTGTACAGTGGTGCTGGTTCATAGTTATTGGCTAATTGTCTGAACAAGAAATGCCCTATGCAGTACCAAAAGGCAAAAGGAGCAAGTGACAGAAGTGTGTGACTGTGACTTTGTGACAAAAGACACAAGGGAGGAAGTCATTCCACGGACTATATCCGCTCTACCCAGCATATTTCTGGCTAAACGACTTACGTTTGAAAGCGCTGTTTTGTTCGCAGGTGGCCACGGCGCCATGATTTGCCCAGCATCTTTACTCAGATTTCTAATACCTTTTTATTCATAATTTTTAACACGGATTGCCTCCACAGTGGTATTTCGGCATATAACGATCCATGTGCGCCTTGCAGCACTGTGAGCTTGCACCAGTTTTGAACATCCATGGTGTGCACCACTTGACATGAGCTTGTCGCGGTTCGCTGGCTGTCTCTCCGCATCTCTGTCTCCTGTTCGCTGGCTGTCTCTCGCCCCATCCTCCGTGGGTCCGTCGCTCCGTCGCTCCGTCCTCCGTGGGTCCCGCGGGTCATATGAACACCAGACAGCCGCCGGGCACCGTGATTGTGCCCTGGGAGCAGGTATTGTCGCTGAACACTGTAACAGCAGCGACTGTCGCCCTGTCCGGAGCGACAGGGCGACGGCTCATGAGCACAACCAGGCCACACCACCTTGGAGCCAGCTGGGCCACCGGCGCCGTCAACGCCGCCCCACGTGGTACCGGAAACAGTGGTGTGCGGCCGCAGGATGGAGATGACGTTCAGCTGGCCGCCGCCAGGGGCGCTGCTGCTCTCCCGGGCCACGTCCGGAGCAGTCGCCACGTTGATGTTGGCGTAGTAGTTGGGCGCCGTGACCAGGTGAGGTGCCGCAGGCGGCGGCATCCCGTACGTCAGGCCCAACACCTGGAACAGGAAACGACGCCGTCAGGTGCCAGAGTCATGAACATAGTGCTCCGTCATTGTGCGCAGCGCGGCGAGCAGCAGGGAATCAGCTCTGAAGCCTTGTTATGGACGTGGTTATTGGCGCAAGCTAGCCCAAGCCACCGATCTGTCGTAAACCCTTCGTCAACACGGCTGAATGATGGGTCGGACTTTGGCGCCACCGCGTCACCTGAGGCTATCCCCCCCCCCCCCCCCCCCACCCGAGAGCCGGCTGACCGCTCCAGCTCCACTGGACCAGCCGGCCTCCGCGTCTCTTGCTATCTCAGCTCCAGTGGAACAGCCGGCCTCCGCGTCTGTTGCCATCTCAGCTCCACTGGACCAGCCGGCCTCCGCGTCTGTTGCCATCTCAGCTCCACTGGACCAGCCGGCCTCCGCGTCTCTTGCTATCTCAGTGGTGGTCAGCCTCACCCCGACGCCTCGCCGATGCGGTACAGAGGCTGCGGACTGCACCAGCGGCTTAGAGAGCATTTGATTCATGATATTATCCACATTTGCATCGTGTAAACCAAAATGACTTGGCGGTAGGTAAATGGCCCGTCGTGTAAAATGGCAGTGAGCTCGGGCGGCCAAATTGCAACGACGCTAACAGTGTGTGAGATATCACGGCAAAACGGGAGGAGTTATTGCCCCGACCCGTAGGAATGTCTCGCTGCATTGCCAAGGAAGCGATGTCAACGTTTCGGGCACAGTCTAGCTTACATTCGTAAATATCAACCAGCCTCCCATGGCTCCGATGTAAACAATGGTCATTTTTTCAAGGCCAACTGACCAAGCGGCCATGTCTCACGCGATGTTGGATTCTCCCGAGATCACAGTGGCCGCAGTCACGCTTGTAACAGAGTACGTCCCCACCGCGCTGGTGACGTTCCGACCGAAGCGAGGCCCCGTGGCCGAAATCATTGCACAGTGCCCGAGCGCCTCACAAACGGACACAGCTCACCGGCAGGAGAACACAGACGGTGCACACTGAGCTGATCATGGCGGCGGACTGGTGGGAGGTCGCGAACGGCTGCTTGGGCCTCCAGACGGCCGCGGTTGGCCGGAGATCCCACCGGGCGTTCCCGTGTGAGCAGATCATCGTGCCATAGCAGGTCTGTCGGCAAGCTTACGTTCGGTCCAAGGCCAGCCGGCTGGATGGCCCCGAGGCATCGCAGACTTCAGTGCTGCCGGGCTGGAAAGTTTGACAGTGAAATTCACCGCAGCGTACACAACGAGGTTATAGCGTCTGCATGGGTGGTTCAGACATGTGTGAGGGTAACCGGGCAGAGGGTCAAAAGTCAGGAAGTCGAAGTCAGTTCGCAAAATGTCAAAAGAAAAAAGTCGAACAAGAAGACACCAAGAGGAATTGAATACCAAGTTGAGCGGGCAAAAAGTCGGAGGGGATGAATGCCGAATAGATGAGTTAGCAAGTCATTATTTCAAAAGGACAAAAACACGGATGAAAATAAAACGACAAAGGTCAAATGCAATAAGTCAGCTAAACAACGAGTCAATAGGGCTAGAGGTCAGGGGAGGGCAGGTCAAGTAGGCAGAAGGCGAAAACCGAATGGTGGATCAGGAGGACCCGTTTTGTGTCGCGGCTTGCTGGATTGAGGCTCCCTTTATGAATTAGAAGGCCCATACTTCTTGGATTAGCAAGCCCTCTGTATAAATCAGCATACGCCCGGTCTGGATTAGGAGGTCCCTTTATGTATGAAGGAGCCTCCTGTTCCAAAATTCCTCCATTCCGGACCAGGAGGCCTTGTGCTGGGATAAATTAGCACGTCACTGAATTGGAGGTCCTCTATTCATCCAGAGTTTTTCATCGGTCCAACTCGGGTAAGACCTGCATCCATGGCATGTAGCCGTTCCTCACTCCCAACTTTACTCTTCAGACGCCGTCCACACCACGCGTACTCGGAAACATTGGGGCATGGATCCAGAATAGTGTCTGCCAGACTGTCTTACGCCGTCTGACTGAGAGTGTGTGTTTGAAATAGCTTGATCTCCTCATGTAGGCAAGGGGCAGCCATGGTTTTCGTTTTATTTATTTGCGTCACTGCACATCCGGCAGATTACAGCCGGCACACCGTTGGGCGCATCCCTCTCCAAAAGATGAAGTTGGTGTCGATGAGGTAGCCGAAGCATCCTGGGGCATACTTGGAAAGAACCGCGGCGTCTAAGTGGTCTGCTTGCGGAGCTCATGAAAAACCTCACAACTGACTTCAAACCAATCTTTGCTGAATGGTTGGAAAATATTGCTGTTTCGCAACAAACAACAAATTAAACCACGTTTAACGAAAACTCAAGTGCCTTTCACAAGTTAATTTTGTCTGAAAAAATGCCTACCTACCAAGGTAGCGCCTAAAAGCGCGAGTAGGTACCCTTTGTATACAATTGGTCATCGCGATCTGCTCCGGTTGGCCTCTATGATCCCCAAAAATGGCGTTTCCTTCGCTTTCCGAGACCCCGAAATGCTACAAGAATGGCAAATTACGATTTCTCCAAGATAGAGAAGTACAGTAGATAGAGCTGAAGGGAATATGGATAAGATGCAGTGGTAGGCGCTGTATGACCGCGCAGCTGAAGCGTCCTAAAGCCATAATTGCCACTGCGGATAGGTTGCGGTGTGGTTCCACGTGCCCTCTTCCCGCCCAAACACAGCAGGCCCGTTGGAAAATCACGCCCAAGAGCCTAGCCAAACTGCGAGTATTTTTTCGAGGAGGCCGCCTGAGAATTTCTCCTCAAAATCCGTGAACGCACGCCCGTGAATAGTTTTTGTAGAGCTCTTGAGTTTTATAGAGCTCGAGGGTAGAGGAGGCCCGGTCCAGATGATTCAGGATGCATGACATGGCAAACACTTTATGACAACCCTTCGCCTTCCAAGCAGTCCACGAGGCTGCTAATTAGCTGGGGCCCCTCTGGCTGAGCGGAGGCGAGGCTCTCCCCTCGAGACCCCCCGACCTCCCGCACGAGCAACTGACCAGGAATCCACCACTATGGGCGAAGACTCACCAGGCTCGAAGCGACCAATTTTTCAAGCATTATGATTTATGAATTGGCGCGCAAGTACATCAGAGAACCTCCCCGCCCACCACAATGTCATGCATGCTAGACACTCAGTGGCTTACATTTCAGCGTCATACATGTAGTGGCTCACAAGGATTGCAGGATTACCCCAGGTGGAGGGGCTTGGTGGTCTTAGGCCCCACGTCCAGTGAACGTGATAACGGTGCTCCTTTTCAGGTTTTTACCAACCGGACAAGAACCCGAAAGAATACAACTACTCCCTACACAACCCGTGGAACCCGGCCGGCTCAGGCATGTTTAAGCGGCACTGGAGCTTTCCCATCATCCTGCTGAAGAACGAGTCGCAGATCAGGGACGTGTTTGAGGTGAGTGGCTGCACGCGCCTCTGTGGTCAGCCCCCAGTGAGCCTCTGACTTTGTCTCGTTCCGGTCGGCCTTCGGTGAGCCTTTCACCTCGCTTTCGTCTGGTCAGCTCTCGGTGAGCCCCAGACGTCACTCTCATACGGTCAGCCCTCAGTGAGCCTCAGACCTCACCCTCATCCGGTCAGCCCTCAGTGAGCCTCAGACCTCACCCTCATCCGGTCAGCCCTCAGTGAGCCTCAGACCTCACCCTCATCCGGTCAGCCCTCAGTGAGCCTCTGACCTCGCCTTCGTCTGGTCAGCCCTCAGTGAGCTCTTCCTTTCGTCTGGTCAGCCCTCAGTTAGCGTCTTCAGTCTCCCGTTGCGCTGGCGGCCGCATGCTACGGTGTGGGTCACTGAGCATACATTTGCTACTGCAAAACGGCAAGAGATGATGAGGTCCCGTTGAGGAATAACATTATGCAAGCAGAAAGTGAATTCATGTGTACGATTCAGTAATAGCTGAATCCACGACGGCTCACCAAAATTGTTCTGATTTCGAGACATTGACGGTGGCCTTGTCATCTTTTCAGGAAATAATCATTGAGCTGTCAGATGAAAACAGTCATATTGTGAATGTTGAATGGAAGAGGCGCACTATTTTTAGGAGGATTTTGACTCCCCCCACCCCCAAATCTTCTAGCTTACAGCGGCCATAGATTTGGACATGCCGTCTGATGCACTTGAGAAAGCATAAACTTGACTTCTGAAAAAGCTGTAAATAAAGATAAAAACGAAGTGGGCTTAGCTGTCATTTTCTGCTGCCTTATGTCATAGCCATTTTTAGCAGTCATCGCCAGAAGTCGCGGCTCGGTGGTGGACTGGATTGAGCGAGGAGGTGTGTCTGTGTGCTGTGTCCCGACCTGGGTCTCATCCTTGTTAACCGCACGGCTTAGGGTGTGGCGTCAATCTCAGTTGGTTTGCGACGCTTTGAGTGCGTCTTTGTAAAATTTTGACTTTTAGGGGATAAGTGTCTTATTTTTCCATTAAAAAAAGAAAATTAGCTCAAGGTCAGTCCGCAGCTTTGAAAAAGGCATTAGTTGCCAATGGTGGATTATGTATGAAGTTGTTTAACAAACTAAGTGCACGATCTTGATAAATTAAAAAAAGAGAACACTTGAGCGTGGGGAGAGGAATATTGACTGAGAACAGTTGGATTTTGATATGAAATGTGCAAACCATCGTTTTTAATCATTTTATGCTCAAATATTCATACAAAAATGGGCTTATGCTGATTATTCCCTCGTACCCTTGGGATTTTCTTGAGATTTACCATTGAAATTCTCTGGAAAAACAAAAGTTGAATTCCACTGATTGATTTTGAGAAAAAAGGTTTTGGCTTTATTTTAACAAATACCGTAAGCAACTTTCGAATGCATGTATAAACTCTACGCTTACAAGCTACCGAATGTAAGGCACACCTTTCGTAGTGAAAAGCTGGCTGCGAACTGCCAAAGTAAATTAATTATTCTTGTTGAGTTATACTTGTTTACACTTATATTTGTATACTTGTTTTTTTTACTACTATACTTGTTTACACTGAAGAATGAGACAAATCATATGCGACACGACGCGCGGACGAACAGCGCATGAAACCTTAGCATGCCGTTTCATGTGCAGAATTTGCCGTTATTTTTTCATTGAAAGGTTTGTTGGCGGCTTCTCTGGACCTCACAAAACACGGGGGTCCGAAATCTCCGTCCATCCCCGCGGCCTGGTGGCGTTGCAGGGGTAGTGCAAAAAAAGCTACACATTGGCTCGACGCGCCAAATGAAAATGCACTGCCCTTTGTAACATTTGGCGATTGCCATGAAAGGTGACGTCATAAGCAAATCTGCACATTTCGTGCGGATGGTAGCATGCTGCTCATCCAAAGAACGACACGGTGTTAAGGCGGTGCAATTATGCACTACCTCCCCACCCTTAGCTATAGAGCGAATGAGGCAGTCAATGCTTATACGTCGGCAGACGGCGTTGCACTCTTTCTATTCTTCATCAGTAACCTAGCTGTTGCTCCGCTTCTGTGTCAGTAAAAGCCGCTCCATCGCCACTGACCCCCGTAACGTACCATAGACCAACCGTCCCCGCTCCCGTAACGCTGACCTCCGCTCCAATGCCAATGACCTGTGACCTGCCCCGGTGTCATTAACCTGCGACTTGCCCCGGTGCCACGGACCTGTGACCTACCCCAATGCCGCTGGCCTGTGGTCTGCCCCAGTGTCGCTGACCTGTGACCTACCCCAGTGTCATTGATCTGTGAACTGCCCCCGTGTCGCTGACCTGTGACCTACCCAGTGTCGCTGACCTGTGAACTGCCCCAGTGTCATTGATCTGTGAACTGCCCCAGTGTCGCTGACCTGTGACCTACCCCAGTGTCATTGATCTGTGAACTGCCCCAGTGTCGCTGACCTGTGACCTACCCAGTGTCATTGATCTGTGAACTGCCCCGGTGTCACTGACCTGTGGTCTGCTCGAGTGTAGCGGCGCGAGGCGTACACTAAAGACTAGTCGGTCACCTGCCAGCGCGCGTGGTGGCGCGTGGCATATATATATATATATATATATATATATATATATATATATATATATATATATATATATGTGTGTGTGTGTATATATATATATATATATATATATATATATATATATATATATATTATATATATATATATATATATATATATATATATATATATATATATATATATATATATATGCATATATTTGTATATATGGTATCTGGTTATAACTGTGTGTGTTTAAGGTTTGTTTTTACTATGTTTATGGTGGGCAGGTGTTGTTAGTATCCAAATGATAAATGAGCGATCGCTGTCGGTACGTCTATCTGTCCACTGACGGCAGATAAACCAACTGGTCTCATAATGCCGTTATCGCTCTCCGTTGATATGTCTGCGGAGAGCTGCCCCGACCATATAAGATATATTGTGCAACCTGACAACAAAGCGTTGCTCGCTCTTTGTAATTCGTCCCTTTCTGGACGCGTTTCCCTGTATGTCAGTCTGGGTCGGCATCACCTTGATGCCGGCACCGATGTTTCACACCGGACCAGCACAACTAGCGTAACAGTGCTAGTTCCGGCCTCTCGGCCGCAGCCAGCATCTTGACAGCATGGGTTCTGAGGTGCAGATAATTGCGCTTGTGTCGCCCTGCACGGGGGTCCGGGTTGTCAGCTGATATAAACAACGGGGCAACCACTGCCACGTTTCTCTGGCGTCGCCGAAGATAGTGACGAGTGTGACACCAGTGCCACTGGCTTGTGACCTGCCCCAGTGTCACTGGTCATCTCCTGTTCCAGTGCCACTCGCGCTACAACGCGGCTGACGCTGGGTGGCCCCACTGCGCGGCCGAAATGCGCACCTTCATGTCGGCCGCCGGCAACACGGAGGTCTGCTGGCGTCGCACCCAAGACCAGTACATCAACACCAAGAATACCGTCTACTGCATGCCCATGGGCTCGGTCAACGTGTTCGGCACGTTGCTGCCCCGCGGCGGGCCGGCGCCGGCAGTCGCCAACGGCGCCACGCTGCTGCTGGCGGCGCGCGCTGACGGCGCCACCATGTGGGACGCGCTGGCGCCGGCCGCCGACTCTGCCGCCGTCGGCATGGTGGCGCTGGTGTCGGTGGCGCGTGCGCTCGCCCACATGCCGACCCCGCAGCAACCGCGTATGAACGTCATGTTCATGCTGTTTAGCGGGGTGAGTTGGCGGGGTGCCGTGGCGCAGGGGCGGCCTGCGGCGGCGGGCGGGGTGGCTGATTTGTCCTGCTGAACGGAGGTCCGAGCCGTGTCTTGATTGCGCTGCGCCTCGTGCATTTAGGCCGGCGGTGAGCGGTCTCAGTGGATCAGATTTCGTGGATTTGGGGTTTGCTGTGCAGTTTTGCCGTCTGCACGGCAATGGTTTTGATGAGTGCTGCCGCGTTGAGTGACAGAAAGGTTAACCGGTGGTGCTCATTGACCAGCCACGCTGTTATGCATCGGATTCTCAAGCTTTAAGAACGAATGACGTAACGTGGTTTTGGCAGCAACAGCTGAGCTGTGCCGGTTCTCAAGGGCCGTGCCCGCCTGGCCTGGCCACGGCTGACGTGAGCGTCAGCTCTTAGCCCCTGACCTGACCTGACCTGACCTGAATCACTGGACCTGACCTGACCTCCTGCCGTCCACAGGAGAGTTTCGACTACATCGGCTCGGACCGGTTCGTGTACGACATGGCACACGACAAGTTCCCGCCGCTGGCCGTGGCCGAGGAGGACGAGGCGGCCGGCTCCGTCACGCGGCCGCCGCTGCTGCACCTCGGCGACGTGGATACCTATCTGGAGCTGAGTCAGCTGGCGCGCGCGCGCCAGCTCTACCTGCACTCGGACCCGGTATCGCGCGCCGCCGACGCCCAGGTCAACCAGAAGGTGCGCCGCGCCCAGCGGCGCAGGGCGGGGTGCGGGCCGCGGTGGGGGACGTGGCGGCAGCGGGGTGGGTGTGGAGACAGTCGCCGCCGCTGAACCCCTGCCTGCCGCGGGGTTTCGGCGGGGATGAGGGAGAAGAGAGCAGGGGAGCAGGGACGTGACGTGGCAGCGTTTTCAGTGCTGGATGTGACGCAGCGTCAGCGCGTTGGCTCGTGGCCCCCTCTGGCAGCTCCCACCGGCGGCGTTGCTCTGAGTGTCTGGCGGAGCCCGTCCCGCGCCAGACCGCCGGCCCGTCAGCTGTCGTCCTCCGCCGCCAGGTACAGCAGCTGATGCAGCAGCTGACGCACTTCGGCGCCGCCAACAACCTGCCGTTGGCCGAGGTGGGCGCCGATACGCCGCTGCCGCCCGCCTCGCTGCACACGCTGCTACGCGCTAACGCCAGCGTGCCGGGTGTGGTGGTGGCCGACCACGCGGCTGCCTACACCAACAGGTGGGCGCCACCGGCCGGCCGGCGGGCCAACACCGAGTCGTGGAGGATGTGGCCGGTGGGCGTGGGTGATGTTGGTGCGGTGGCGAAGACGTGACATTGGGTGGTTGAAATGGAGGGGGATGTGCAGTCAGAAAAGGAAGGTGAAGGTGAAATGGGTCATCAGCGCTGGAAGGACAGGTTAACATTGCACGAAGTTTGTGGGTGGGTAGGCGTAGACCAACTTTATGACGCTGGGGCTGGAACCCATGCATTGCCCTGTGGTGTATTGATAGAGCTGGTTTTGCAGTTCAGTGGTAGACCTGAATGACCATAGATATGTTGCTTTGTCACATAATGCTGTGTGTTTGTGCCTCCCGGCACACTGCATCCCCCCACGCCGTCGCCGCCCTTGCCTCCAGCCACTACCACAGCGTGTACGACGTGGCGTCGACGGTGGGGGCGGAGGCGGCGGCCGCTGACCTGGTGGAGCACCTGAGTCGGCTGACGCGGACAGTGGCCAGCGCCGTTTACGCCACCATGTCGGGCCAGGAGCCTCCGCCTGTCGAAGTGGACCCGGAGTGGGTGAGGCCGCCCTCTCGGCAGGGTCCGCCCCGCCGCCGCCGCCGCCGCCGCTGCGGTCGTCGGCCCGACAGATGGCGCCGGCGCCGCCGCTGCGCTCCGGCGTGCGGCAGGCGTGTGGGGCGTGGACGCGGCGGCCGCAGGTGGAGAGACGTCGAGAGACGATTGGTCGCGGACCCGCGCCTCGAGAGCGCCTCCTCGCGGCTCTGTATTCGTCCTGGTGTTAGCGAGTTGGCTGGCTTGGTCTCAGGTCCCGTCACAAAGCCGCGCCCGCTGTTCCACTGCCCGGTGTCCGTCTCCATTCGAGCGAGGCCCGAGCCGGCCTCGGCGGCCCCGACTGACGCCCGTGGCCGGCCGCCGTTTCAGCTGCGGGGCCTGATCGAGTGCTACCTGCAGCGCTCCAACTGCTCCCTGTTCCGGGGCGTCATGGACGAACAGCTGAGCCAGAAGCCGCTGCGCGAGGAGTGGCAGAAGGACGTGCCGATACCCACATACGTGTCGGTGAGACTGGCGGCCGCTCCGATGGCTCTCCAGCCGGCCGGCCGGCCGGCCGCGGGCTGGCGGCCGCTGCTGGCGGTAGCGTGTGCCGCAGCTGGTCGAAGTGTTAACCGCGCATAATGGTTTGACCTGTGGGCGGGCGAACCGACCGCCCATCAGGAGCTCCGGACACGGCGCCCGGACCGGCCGCAGCCGCTGTCACAGTGTCCCGTGAGGGCTGCGGCGGCAGTGACGTGACGCGACGTGACGCCACGCGCTGACCGGCGGTGACGCGCCGCTGACGTCACTCCCGCCCGGGTCCGGCGTGACGGGGTGTGACGCGCCGCCGCGGCCGACAGGTGGCGGGCCAGCTGACGCGCCACTCGTACCTGATGGAGCTCACGCAGAACATGCTGGCGAACGCGACGGGCACCACGCTGGCCAACGTCACCAGCGCCGACCAGTGCGCCGATGACAAGGACAAGGTGAAGCCGCTGCCGACGACTGCGCGTGTTGCGCCCGGTGTTGTCTGCAGGCCGCTGTGTGGGAATGGACGGACAGACATCACCGTCACCGCGTTCTACTCGTGTGTGCACGCCCTCGCTCGAGCGAGCTGCGTCGATTCAGGACGTGACGTGCGCGGTGCGGCAGTGCTGACAGCGGCTGTGCGTGTGCACAGACGCTTGCCGGACTCTGCGGGTGTCGCCTGAAGTGTCGCTGGCCCATCCCCGTCGGCCGCCGGTGCTCTCAGCAATGTCCCATCACGGTGGTACTGTGACGCCGGGGAGGAGGGCGTCACGCCATGTGACGGCCCGGCGGCGGCGGCCTGTCGTGACGCGCCGTGCGGGCCTGACTGACCGGGTCCTCTGCGGCCAGGTGTACGTGCATCGCTGGCTGCTGCGCGAGCTGGAGAACGGCACGCTGCAGGGCTACTGCACGCGCTCGCTGGTCAGCTTCTCGCGCGCCGTCAGCCCCGCCTTCGAAATAGACGGTGGGTGCCGACGGGGCAACTCTGTGACTGGCTGGGATGCGCTGGGCTGGGCTGAGCTGGGCTGGGCTGGGCTGGGCTGGGCTGGGCTGGGCTGGGCTGGGCTGGGCTGGGCTGGGCTGGGCTGGGCTGGGCTGGGCTGGGCTGGGCTGGGCTGGGCTGGGCTGGGCTGGGCTGGGCTGGTGGCGGCACCCTCCCCCCCCCCCCCCATACCGCGACACTGACCGGGTGTGAGTGTCCTTCTTGCTTTGGGTTGGGAAGATGAATAAGCGGAAGGCGGGGGTGAAACTGACTCCCATCTTTGGAGGAACCGCACTCGACCCCATGGCGTAGCAGGGAAGCAAGCGAGGCAAATATGACGTCATCCAAACTCCTCATAGGTTCCAATACGACCGCTCGTAAATGTTAGAACCTCTGGTTCGAAGCGTTATGGGCACCAGTGCTCGGCTCGTCGCGTCCCGTTTGTTCGCTTCACCATCGACAGTCACCACCGGCACGCCTCGTGACGTTACGAGGCGACGAGCCGGCCTGCGGGCGGCGCCCTGACCTTCGCGCGCCGCCCCGCAGACTACGACTGGGCGTCAGGCGCGCACCCGTCCTGGGCCGAGTCCCAGTGGGTGACGTTCCAGCTGCGCCTCTTCCTGAAGCCGTCGCTGGGCCACGACGTGCTGCACCTGCTGCTGGGGTTGGTCGTCACGGCGCTGGCCACCGCCGCCGTCCTGCTGCTGGAGCGGCGCGCCGATCTCGTGTTCACCTCGCCCAGGTGAGCCGCCGCCGCCGTCGGCTGGCGACGCGAGCGGCGGCCGGCGCCGGCCAGCGCGCGGCGGAGCGGCGCCGGCCGGCCGCCGCTGGTGCTGGGCGACGCGCCGACCCCCAGCTTGGTTGTGCTGCATGGGGTTTGTGCATGGCTGGAGGCAGGTGGCCGCTCGTCTGAATCGGCTAGTGCGTGCGCGTGCGCGCGCGCGTGCGTTTCCTGTGCGTACGCGTTTGCGGCTTCGAGCTATGTTGGTCCTGGCGGGATTTTTCCTTGCGTTTTGCATTTGATTTGGCTTGTGCGCAGTGCGGACGGTGCCTGCATGTGAGGAGCGCGTTCCAACGGAGTTGCACGTTGTGCTCGGTGGCCTGGGTGGCGTTCACTGTGGCATGCACGCTTCTCGACGTCCCGAATCTGCCTGTGTTCTGTTAAGCTGGCTGCGGGAATGGCCTGGCACCGGGCTGCAGGGGGATCTGCGCAGGGCACCGCTGCTACGCACACGCGTTTCCGTGGGAGCGGTGTGTGTTGCTTTGTTACTTTAAGACCGTTGGCCGATTTCGTTGAGATACCTGGCTGTCATGCCAGTTAGGTTTTTCTCACGCCTCATTTTTTTTTTGTTTCGTTCTGTGATTGGCGCTATTCAGTTGTTCAGCGTGATCTTCTGCTTGGTTGCGGTGTTGTCGGTGTCAGTGGCGTTCCCCGCCCCCCTCCCCGCCATGCATCGTTTTCAGTTGTGCTTTGCTTTTCATGTTTTGTCTGCTTCTGCGGTTTTCGAATCCTGGACTACGGTGATTCTTTATTTGCCTTTTCCCCGTCTGGCACATGAAATGGCTTCTAACAAGAAAGGTTAACTACTGGCATGTACATAATGTGTGCATCAACCTGCTGTTTTTTTTCCCGCGGATCTAAGATAACTGATTGGATCTTAAGACTGGTCCTATGTTTCATACGTTAATGTGGTATTCGACGTTGCGCAAGTTAACTTAGAACGTGAAAATGCTCCTCACCGGTCGCAAACCCTGATCTGCAGAAAATGTTCTGAACCACCCACAAGCCTGGATTGGGTTGGGGAACCAGGGAGGGGGTGGGAGCGCCGCTGACCGCAGCCCGCCGGCAGGTACGAGATCCAGAGCTAGGCCGCCCGCCAACCCGCCGCTGTCGGCAGATCCGGGGGGCTGCGCGCCGCCGGCGCCGACCGCCACTACGGCACGCTGGCCGAGCCGGCGCGATTGTGACGCGCCGCGCCGCCGCCGGCCGCCCGTCGGGGCGGCAGTCGACGGCCCGCCGGCCGCCCGTCGGCAGTCGACGGCCCGCCGGACGGGCGCCGCGGCGGGGCAGGGCGGCGCGTGTCAGCGCGCTCCCCGCAGCGCGGCGTGACGGCGCGTGCCGGAGAAGTGGTCGGCGCGGGACGGAGCGCGCGCCGCTGACGGGCTGACGGCGCGGCCGCGGCTGTCCAGTGCTGTGATACCGAACCGATGACGACGTGGCGCGCCGCGTCACGCGAGCCCGAGGCGCGCTGGGCTCCGGGCGCGCCGCGGCGGCCCGCCGAGCGTGGGGTCGACACCGCCTGATCGCTCCGGCGTGGGCGCTGTGAAGACGACGGGTCCGACAACGTCACACGCGCGGGGCCGGCGGCGCGCGGTAAGCTGCGGCCGGTGCCTGTTGTGCCGGGCGTGAAGCGTGAATCACTCGTGGGCCGGGCCGGAAGCTACGGAAGTTTGCCCATTGCAGCGTTTTGTCACCGAGGTGAAATCCAAATTCTGAGTAGTGAAAAACTGCTGCTAGCCAATCGATGCTACGTTCATGCTAATTCGTTTCACATCAACCCGCCAAAGCAGTGTGAGACAGCAGGACAGCTGCGTGGCTCGGGTTGAACGGGATGGCGGGCCGGAGTGCCTTGCGCCGTGGTGGGGACGTGCTCCAGCTGGGTCTGACGTGCCCCAGTGTTCGGTGCTCGGGGCCGCTGGGACGGTACCGTCCGTGAGGTCGATGACATGACCCAGCGATGGCAAGCGGACAGTGGGGATCATCAGGTCAGAAGATCATCGTCAGAAGGTCATCACGGCCTGGCTGGCGAGGGGCGCGGGCGGGCTGGTGTCGCAGCTCCGGTTGTACACGTCTGGAGAGACGCGTGCTGAAGCCACCTGCTTGATTCCGGTGTGAGTGAGCTACTACCACCCGCGTTATGGAAATTGTTTTTTTCCGGTGTCTGCTGCCTCGCAGATGTCGCGGTCGCCAGTTAGGGAAGGTTGTGCGCCACGTTTGTGCAGATTATCGTTTAGTTTGGGAACAATTACCTGGAGCTCAAGCACCAGCGATCCTCACTCTGCAGGCGTACGCTTGGTTTATTTGTTACACATTCCAAGGTTTTGGAGACGATTGATTGCGTAGTTAATCGCGAAATTAGTGTCTGAAGGGTCATACACGTGCTGTTTTGATGACGTCAGTATTCTTGCGTCGATGTGATCGGTGCACCACCTGTACATCTTTTTTTATTTTGATAGTATTATACTGCACCGATGCCGACATTTCCCGTACGTGGCCGAGTGAACGGATGCTGGGCGACAACATAACTTCTGGCAGGCAATAATTCCAAGCGATTATGTGTTGTCAATTACGTGTAATTGCGTCATACCTGCGTGAACTCCTGACATGTATGTTGTATCAACTGCATACCCTCACAAATAAAACCAACTTAACTATTCATGATTTGCGGAACCCGCTGTCAACGGCCACTTGCTTTGCAGCGAGTAACTGAACGGTCCAATGTGATCAAGAGCTTGTGCAATTTCAGATTATTGGTAAGTCACGGTATTACACCGCAACGCTCTATGGCGTGAACCCTACGCCATATTGTTTCTGCCACCAATGGAGAGGCTGCCCGACTTACACCAGTCTGGGTCACCACTGGAGAGGCTGGCCGACTTACACCTGTCTGGGTCTTCGCTGGAGAGGCTGGCCGACTTACACCTGTCTGGGTCACCACTGGAGAGGCTGGCCGACTTACACCAGTCTGGGTCACCACTGGAGAGGCTGGCCGACTTACACCAGTCTGGGTCGCCACTGGAGAGACTGGCCGACTTACACCAGTCTGGGTCACCACTGGAGAGGCTGGCCGACTTACACCAGTCTGGGTCACCACTGGAGAGGCTGGCCGACTTACACCAGTCTGGGTCACCACTGGAGAGACTGGCCGACTTACACCAGTCTGAGTCATCATTCTGTGCCCCATCGGCCAGATTGCATTCAGAAGTTGGGCTGATTCAGCGAGCAAACCTAAATCGTTCAAAACGTGTATTATAGGTCAGTTTGCCATGCGTAATGCAAATTAGAACTCTGTTATGCTCGTAGACGTCACAGTGCTGATCTTTTTAAGGTAAAATCGAGGTCACTGACCTGAGATACCATGCATGACAAGGGTTATTGGCATTCAGGTTGCGGTAGGGTTACGCTGTGAATTACATTACTACGTTACGCGCTGAATTCGTGTGTACCACTTTTTTCAAACTACCAACGATGCCGTCAATGGCGTCATAAAACGTCTTTGGCCGTCAAGCCGTCTTCTCCTCGGCGAGTCTCAGCAAGTCAGCCGTCTTCTCTTCAGCGAGTCTCAGCAAGTCGCCGTCTTCTCCTCAGCGAGTCTCAGCAAATCAGCCGTCTTCTCAGCGAGTCTCAGCAAGTCAGCCGTCGTCATTCCAGCGAGTCTCTCCATCACCATCTTCACAGCGGCGGTCGCGGCGTGATGGTGTGCGCCTGCCCTGGAGCGGCAGGAGCTTCGGTGATGCTGTCGGGCATCTGATCTTGGGGGACGAAGCCCCCGATCCAGGTGGAGTACTTTCGCTGCGGAGTTGGAGAGGGTCTTGTGACGTGCGCCAGACCTAGTATCTGGAACGGAGAGACTGGCCCACTCAGATACCAAAATCGGCAGTACTCCGCCATTGTACCATTATCATCAACCTATAGCTATACGTTGGTGCTCGGAACACAAGGAATACAAAAAAGTTTGCAAAGCTCGTGTTGCAAAATCAGTCAATCTGGCCATGTTAACACGATGCGCAGGAAGTTGTGCACATCTACCGTGCGTTGCAAACGGCTTTCAGTGAGCATTTTTAAGCTGTGCCCCACCCATCGTGAAATTCAAGGCCGTGTATATACCTGGGCAAAATCTGCGTTGCCGCTGTGCCACTGACGGGGTCACCATATCCTTGAAAGAAAATGATTTCGACCATGTGGCATGCACTGGTGAAGGCTCTGTAGCAGTCAGTCCCATGGACGCGGAAGATGGGATCGTAAGGTCCTCGATGTGTCATCGGTCTTTTGGCCGCCTTGTTGCGGCCCCTTCCCCAAATCATCGTCGTGGACCCTACCTGAAGATGTGGTTGCGCACCGCCTCCATAGAGGTCAGCACAAGGCAGCACCGGGGTCCTCGTAACGTAAACAAAGATTTGGCGTCGGTGCTGTCGGGTCCCACAGCCTTGCTCGTGTCGCGGCGAGCTAGGAATGGGGGTTGTGTGGACACTGGGTCTGTAGGGCTGGAACAGACCATCGAGTGAAAGCGAACGTCAAGTGTTATGGAGCGTTAAATTGTTGAACCTACTATAGCGCTGCAGTGTGCGCCAGGATTGTGCTGCTGTGGTAGGAGCATTGGAATCCAGCATCCGAGTTCCAGCATATGTTGGTCAGAGGTGCCTATTATCTAGTATTTGGTATCGAAGCCCCTGCCACTCCATTTTCCACGAGTACTACACCTGTGCAGCAGAGACCTGTCTAGGTACGTGCATCCCAAACTGTTTGCATGGTCAGTGCTGATGGCATCAATGTTGCCAGCATGTGACATTTTTGGAAGGTAAATATATGGGTAGGGAGCTGTGCAGATACATGCTGGCTTTGTATCAACTGATGATTGGTGATGATGGATTCCTTCATACCCACCAGTTCACAATACTGGCAAGAGTATCAGCAATATGCTTTGGCAGCCTCACAGCTGAAAACTGGAGCACCTCATCTTCCCCTGTATCTCACCTCATCGGAGCCTACAAAATTTGTTGGTAGGCATGTGGTTCTAGGTGAATTTATGGTTGTGACAAACAGCTACTTTTTTGCTCAATTGCAGCAAAATTTACTGAAATTCAATGTGTTGTAGAATGGATTAGAAACTGCATAGCCGTGTAGCTCACAGCTCCACTTATCATCATTTGGTGACTTCCATATGAAGCACATGTTATAAAAGTTTTAAAACAAGTATTTCATGCCCTGATGTTCATCAAGGATGCTGGTGAGCCCACATGATACAAATTACATAGGTACTTGCAAGGGTTGTTTGTATGTGAGGGCAATCTGGGAAAAATGGGTGGAGAGGCAGAGGCAAACTCTTCCTTTCAAGTTAGCTTTTATATCACCAGAGCATTAGGGTTAACCTCTCACATAAGATCAAGACTATTGCCCCAGCACCCTTTTTCATGCCATGCATATGCTCCTTTCATTGCATGCTCACATGCTGGCAGAAGCTGGTACTTGTCAAACAACACATTTCACCACCAGATAAGGTATGCATATTGCTGATAATTGTTATGCACCATAAAGCACACTTGATTGTTTAAGCTACATACTATGGTTACAGGTGTTTTTGTTTTTAATATCAGCATATTTTGTTCCATAAGTTTTGACAATTTTTCATAGATTGGCAGTTTCAAATTGGAAGTTGTGCTGAGAGTATTGACTTAATTGGCTATTTGATAAATAGGTTATGTAAGATTGTGATACTTGTTCAATAACATTGGTGCATGAACATTGCTATCAAACAAGCTTGGATTTAATGACAAACCTCAACATGACCATGGGTGTGCATTCAGAACATACATTAAGCTTTGTTAATATGCTAACTGCTTGCTTGATTATGTGGTTTCACCACCTTCTCCAGGTACACTGAGGGTGTATTATTTTCAGCTCAAGAACTCCCAGCCAAATATCCAAGAGCAGAAGGTCTCACTTGGTTGTGTCATATATTGGGAGTGCTTATGCAAACTTTTGGGAGAGAACTCCAAAGAAATGCAGTGGTCTGCCCATGTGCCTGTAAGCATGCTGGGCATGAGTGCTGTGGGGTGGAATGGTTCAAGTATGCACCACCTGTTAACAAATACCTTGTGAGGTGCTCAGCTGGCATGTGCAGTTATTTTTCGTGGTCATTTATTTGATAGGTGTCATGGTGCTGGGATTTATAAGTTGAGGCAGACCACAGGGACCACGCCACAGTGGCTACAACCACGCTTGTAGCGGAGTATTCGCTGACCAACACTGGTATCGCACCAATTAAAGTGAGATTCCGTGACCACAGTGAGCATGTGTGGCGTGGGCATCTCACAAATGCATGCAGCTCACCTGCAGGAGAATGGCAATGGTGCACACTGGGATGATCATGGCGAAGACCTGACGGGAGGTCTCGGGTGGCTGCTGGGTACCTGTAAACGGTCTGCAAATGGACCACCGAGAACTTCGCTTTCCCCTTGTGACGACAAATGCTGTCGGTTCAAGGTTAGCCGGTCGGATGACCCCGGGGCATGTCACAGCTGTGTTGGCAGGCTATAAAGCAGCTGTTCGAGTGCAAGAACTGCGTGATGCTGGGATTCTTGGTTGTGGCAGCATTTCTTATTGTGTAATGCTCCAGATGCATCTTCATCCATTCACCACCGCGTCCCGGGGTCGTCCACCCATAGCAGCATTGCATCGGTTGCGCCAGAGCCGTTGCCTGGTACCGCCCAGGTCCCAACCTGAGGGAGCCGGATCCGTCTCTTGAACCGGAAGCGAGGCGCGCTGCTGTCCAGCTGCGCTCGGGTCACTGCGGTCCGCGGCTGCGGCAGCGGCGCTGCAAGCTGCTGGCCGGTTCACGCGCGTCCACAGATGGCTCCCATCCGCCACGCATGGCCGACAGGTGGCGCTGGTTTGCCTCTGCCGGCGCGCAGTGGCAGATGTGGCCGGCGGCTCGCGCAACCGCTCCCCGCCGGCGCGGCGGCGGCGGGGGGGACTCGTCCCTCGCGCTGCACGCTGTCGCGCCCTCGGCGGACGCCGCGGCGGCCTCTGCGCACCAGTGCAGCGGGCCGCGGCGCAGATAAGCGGACGGGCAGGGCGAGTTGGAGGGGTAGGGGACCACGCCTGGTCGCGGAGGCTGGGGTAGGACCACGCCTGGTCGCGGAGGCTGGGCTTCGTAACGCAGAGGCGCGGACGCGCAGGACAACGGTAGGCGGCCACGGCCATATACATATACATATAGTGCGTGCGTGCGTGCGTGCGTGCGTGCGTGCGTGCGTGCGTGCGTGCGTATATATATATATATATATATATATATATATATATATATGCATATAACGTCTCTGCTCCCTCCAGTATCCGTGGGGAATAGGGCGTCCAAGACCTGCACCGGTACCGGTGCCCTCCAGCCGCCTCCGCGAGTTGATTCGGCCAGCGGGCCCGCGCGCCGCCGGCCGGCCGAGGCCGCGCATAAGTGACGTCTCCGTGTCCGGTGAGCATGTTTTTGCCCATCTGGTCGTGGCCTCTGATCCCGGCCGTGGCTCCTGATCCTGGTCCTGGGTCGTGATCCTGGTCGTAGTGCCTGATCCTGGCGTGGTGCCTAATCCTGGTCTTGGCTTCTGATCCTGGCGGCTCCTGGTCCTGATCGCGTCTCCTGATCCCGGCAATATCTCCTGATTCTGATCGTGTCTCCCGATCCTGGTCGCATTTCGTGATCCCGGTCGTGGCTCCTGATCCTGGTCGTGGCTCCTGATCCTGGTCGTGGCTCGTGATCCTGGTCGTGAATCCCGATCCCGGCTGTGCCCATTGATCCCGGCTGTGCCTCCTGATCCCGGTCGTGGCTCCTGATGCACGCGATCGGCGGTGCGAGCCGGTATTGTGTGTGCGCCGCCCGTATTGATCGGCGCCGTGCAAACCGGACTGGACAGAGTCGCTGGCCGCCGTCCGGACCGCCGCCGCCGCCGCCGCCGCGTGGTGCGACGCAGCCACCACCCGTCGGAAGACGAGGCATGCGCCGGCGGCGGGAACGTGGGGCCCCGGACGCAGCTCCTGTCGGGGCCGCGGGCAGGAGGGTGTCCGCAGAGCGAGTCCAGGTCGGTGGGCAAGGCCGGCGGCGGGCCGTCGCCGATGCTGTGGCCGATGCTGCGGCGAGCTGGCCGGTCAGGGCGGGGCCGGTCACGCCTCTTTGAGTCGCATTAGCCGCGTTACGATCCATCTTCCGGCCGTTGGTGGGGAGGAGCCACTGTTTGCTGAGCGACTCGTGGTCCGGCTGCCCCCCCCCCCCCCCTCCCCTCCGTAACCCACTCACATCGGTCCGCGGCGCTAGGAACCTATCCGGTCCAAGTAAGGAAGTACTCAGGATTTGACTAACCCGTGAGCATGTGGCAAATGAGGGAGTGAAATTCGTACACGCACGAGCCTGCCATTGCAGCGGGTATTCCTGGCGGTCTCTGTGATGGAGGTGTTTGCCCATTTACCCACCTCTCGCGTGACAGGCATGAAGTGGGCAACGTGGTTGTTCGTAGTCCAGCTCTACCATTAATGCCTGCTCCTACCACGAGCATTGTGTACGTACATTGCGGAGAGTGATTTGAAGAGTTATTTGGAGAGTTCCAAGAGTAATTTGGTGCCGATCGACCGCCGTAAGCAAACTTGCTCAGCCGCGCACGATGGCTTTTGTATCGACGTCACACGATGACCACCTTTGAAAAATCGCCATGTTTGAAGAGCAGCCGTCCGGCGCGGTGTTTTGCCAACCTGCACCGAGGATGTGTTTTTAACGGAATATTGTGGGCAGCTTGTGTGGTGCGCAGGCCCGTCCCGGCCGTGTGCCTGTACCGCTCCTTGGTTGGCGAACTTATGCGCTCACTAACGCCGAACGTAAGTTGCAACGCCGCCAATGAGGTCGGCAGCGTCGATACGGGCCACCGGGGCAATTTGGTCAGCTGACCAATGGGCCAAAATGGTCAGCTGTTTCAGGACCGCTGCCGCCGGACTTCGCGGCGGACAAGCAGAGCGCACGAGAACGCCCATTTGGCCCCCTGTATCGAAACGTTATGCTTCAAGCTATGCCAGGCTCAGTAAGGAATGTAGAGTTTCTGCAACATGTTTCATACGTGACAAGCCACTGATGTTACAACGTTGGTTTTCGCCAAACTTTTGACCAGTCGAGCTGTAAGCTGTGGACCGCCACGCCGCGCGCCGCACGACCTGGACCCGGCAGCCGTGGTCAGTCGACATCAGCTGAGAGCGCCGGGCAGGGTGGGAGGGGCGCGCGGATCGCCCCGAGCGAACGGCACCAATCGATGAGGCTGGAGTGGAGCGTGTCCCCAATCAACAGGGGCCGTTAGGCGCGCGGCAGTCAGCTGCGGCACGCCTCCGCCCGGTCGAATCGTCATTCCCGGCGGGGTGCTGTGTTGACTTTCCAGCCAGCGTGGCCGAACAGCTGTTGCGGACTGACGACAAGAAGCGGCACGCCGGGATCCCTGAGACGGCCGGTGCCGTACCGCGTGACCCCTGCGACGGCCCCCGTGACCCCCGCGAGCGCGCCGCCGTACGCCGCTCGTCGGTCACCGGTCCCGGCCGAACGGCCGCCGACAGCGATGGCGCGCCATTAGGTCGGCTGGACGGCGTTCGTTCAAAGGTCACGACGCTGGCGACGGGCACTGCCCGATCGCGCGGCGGGCGGTGGCCGGCGGCTCGAGCGCGGCCGACGCGGCGCCGGGCCCAGGCCGCGAGCGCGTCTCG